AATCACTATAGATCTTAGATGCTGATAAGATTATAAAAACCTCACAGCAATTAACTCAGTAACTACCTTAAATGGACAAGTTCCTTCAAACACACAACACTGACTTACTTCAGAATACTGCTGGCCTGAAGTGGCACAAACCTATATTCCATTATTCAGGAGGCTGAGGCAGGAAAGCCACAAGTTTGAGACCAGCTTGGGCAAAATTTTAAAAGGGGAGAAAGATGGAATATGGTTCACCGGCAGAACACTTGCCTAGTGTGCACAAAGCCATAAACTCAAAAACCCTAAAAACAAAACAAACCCTAAATCTGCTCTTAATATTGAATTTGCCAACACAGCATATTCCAAGCTAAGATTGGCTTTACCTGAGAATTCTGCCTAAAATATGCTATATTCTTTCAGATAACTAAAAATGAATTAATGCCTTCCAATTCATGCCACTGGGTTAGTATTATCCTTTTATCAAAGTGAGGAACCACAGACCAATTTGCAGTTTAAGTAGCAACATTTGAAATGAATGTGAAAAAGGGTAGGCTACAGAACAGACTGGAAAGAAAAGGACTTAACTGTAATACTATAGCTGCCTTTCTGACAGACTGGTTCTACTCCACATAATTACAATCATGATTCAACAAGAGTGCCTTTAATATACTGCAGAGGAAATGCAGAATTGGGAGCACTTAGCAAAGGTGTTAAAGGAGAGGTCAAGTCAGACCAACAGGTGTGATGAGGAAAGAGAAAGATGCAGTGCTGGTGAGAACAATGAGTAGCCGGGACATATATTCAGAACTGCGTACCAAGTGCTTTGTCTACAACAGGATGAGTTCATGGTGCTGGTCAGATATCCAGCATGGCAGCCAGTGTTCAATAAGTAAGCTTTATGTCCGATAATTGGAAATGCATGAGCTCAAGGGAGGGAAATGCAGTAGAGGTCATGTCTATATAACTGATCTCATTTACCAGCTCTGTAGCTATACTACATTAAGAGTAGCAGAGTATTTCATAGACTTTACTTCTTTCAGTGAACTTTAGGATGTTTATCCCAAGGTAAGAAAGTGTTAATTACAAAAATTAAATGTACTATAATTATAGTCCTTGATTTTCACTGAATGATCCTTCAAAGATAACATAACTTCAGATTCTGGGTGGATGTCTATTGTCAAAAGCTGCTGCTACAATCTGGGATTCTTCCAGTCTTCTGGAAAAGTCTAAACCCACTTAGTGTTAAAAGGGTACATTTCTAAGGCCTCTCCTCTTACACACCAGCACATAATTAGCACATTTTGGAAATCAAAATGGCCCATCACATTTGGGGGGGGGGGAGTTACAGGTACTCAAACCAGGACACCTCATGCTTGCCAGGCAGGCGCTGTGCCACTAAGCCATATCCCCAGCCCATGCCACCCATTGCTTTTAATTAACAAGACACTACTAAGCAGCTAGACTACATGGAAAAATCAGTACACAAAGTTCATCATCTCTAGCCAACTAAGCCATCACCCAAGATTCTAAACTAACATACCTGCAAAAGGCTGTTTCACTTAAATGACAACCTTAAGCTCATTCTCCAAATGGAGAGATGTATTTTCTGCTAAATGGGAGAAGGAATTTCACTTGCTGTTAAAAGACATAGGGACAAGCTGGGTGTTTAGCTCAGTGGCATAAGCACCTGCCTGGCAAGCATGAGGTCATGAGTTCAATCTCCGGCACCAAAAAAAAAAAAAAAAAACATGAGGATAATTTATACTGTATAAGTACTCCAGGAAAAAGTTGTTTCTATGAACAAACGAAAAATCCAGAAAGCAGCTATCACTTACTAGAAAATACAAAATGTTTAATATGAAAGTCTTGACTAGAGTTACTGATACACAACATAAAGATTGCCCAATATATAAAAATCTCAATTTTGAAAATAATTTTGAATATTGGAAGAACCTATTAATCACCTTTCATAAAACCTTTTATAATCACACTTTATAAAACCAAGCTATAAACTCTGGTGCACACCTAAGGCAGGAGGAATGCAAATCCCAGTCCAGCCTGGGCTCCACAGCAAGGCCATGTCTTGAAAGAACAAAAACCCTCTCATCGATGAGTATACAAATAATAAATAACACAAAAACAAGTGAAATTACTACTTAACAGAAGCAAGACTTATTATTTTCATTTTATTAAAATATAGCAACATAATAGCAGCATTATTTGATAAAAATTTTACATGTACCATTTGAAAGTCCTACTCACATAAATATACATTTATGCAGCATATTTATGTTTACATTTTAAACTATTTCTTTGATAATCTACAACACTGCTCCATTAATCAACTTTAGAAGATAATTATTGAACTATTAAATTGATTTATACAGCTACACATTATTTTCAAATTTAATGTTCAGTGAAAATCAGGCGTTTTCTAGGTTATTACCCACAATGTTACCAACAAGTAGCCTTAAACTGGTAAAAATTAATCTCTTCTGATTCTTTCAGTATAGTTTTTATGAATTTCAAAGCCAGGTATGAGGGTGCACACTGCACACCCGTAATCCTGGCAATCAGAGGCAAAGGCAGGAGGATCACCTTGAGTTCAAGGTCAGCCTGGGCTGCATAGTGTATAGGCCAGTCTGATTACATAGCAAGACCCTTTCTGAAAAGACAAAAAAAGATGAGAGGAAAGGTTAACTACTACTTCATTCCAATCTTAGGAAAATAAAATTTATAGAGGTAAAATATGTGACAAACTGATAATACTCCAAATTAAAACATTAGCTTCATATTTAAAAAATCAAGCAACTTGGCAAAACCTCCTTTAGAAAAATGTAAAAAAGAACATTATGAGCCAGATGTGGTGGTGCACCACCTATAATCCCAGCACTAGGGAGGCTGAGGCAGGAGGATCGTTGCAAGTGGAGACCAGCCTGGGCTACAAAGTGAGCTCAAGGCTAGCCTGAACTGCAACAGTGAGACTCTTGTCTCAAAAAAATAAATTAATTTTAAAAATAAAGAATGTTGTATTAAGAGGTTGGGGACAGCTCAGAGATAGAGTGCTTGGCTGCTGTGCATGAGGCTCTGGGTTTGCTCTCCAGTACCACCACCACCTCAACTAATAATTGTAATAAGTAACAGGAATGATAAAGGTACCTTAGGTTGAAATGGAGAGATGGGTTACTAAATCTAACCTATCTATGAACTAGAAAAACAAAAATGTATTATTTTTATTTTTAAAATAATTATCATGGCTGGGGATTTAGCTCAGTGGCATAAGCACCTGCCTTGCAAGCAGGCGGTTGTGAGTTCGATCCCCCGTACCAATAAAAAGTTAAAAAAAAAAAACAATAATTATCACTCTTCAGGCAAAATCACCTTTATAAATAAAAGTATCCTCAGAAAGATTCACTCATAAACCCAAAGTTAAATGGAGCAGGCAGTTTTAAAAGATTACTTTATACATTTATTCTATACTTCTTCCAGAAATAGCATTTAGCCCTTTAAAGGGCCCTGACTTTTGAAATCTGAAAATAATTTAAGTGATTATTAGAATAGTATACAAACATGAGAAAATAATACGGACAGAGGAAATAAAAAATATTTAAACATGGAACACATGGTTATTGTACTTTTTATTTTTAAAAAATGGCTTAACTCTGGCCACTGATAATCAAACACTTATTTTTAAACTAAAACAATAAACATTTAAAAAAGAAAATAGTAAAAAATGACTCACTGAAGTTTTACTGTAAGCATCTGTCTAAAAGACTGCTAATTCAACAACTAAAGATGATTATACAAGTGTGTTATACTTATAATACAGTGTTAAACTGAAACCGCCTACTATATTTTTTAAACATTATATCTGAATATTTTTATTTGAGAATAGGTTTGGTCAGATTATTTTTTTTTAAAATATTGGCAGCAATATACAAATAGAAAGACTGAAAGTTCTGAAAATTATTAATATCACCATTTCTTAACCAAAAAAAATTTTTTGTTTCTAAATACTACTTTTTGTTTTTATGTTTACTTGTATGGGGAGTGTTACTGGGAATCAAACTCAGGACCTCATGCTTGCCAGGTGTTACTGAGCTAAATTCGTAGACCCCTACTTTTTATTGAGAATGTCAAAATTTAACTCTGGTACTTACAAAGGTCATAATCTGACTTTTATTTTTTACTAATAAGCTAATTAGATTTGACAGAAAATAGTAAGATGTAATTGTAATTAACAATTTTTTTCCACAAATGTAACTGATTGGCTTACTTATAAAAGGACCATCTTGGGATACTAGGTCAGCAAACACTGCTCAACAGCAGTAAGAATACCAACAAAATTTGCCTAAAATTACAGCAACTATAGTTTAAGGAATAGAATAGTCTGTAAAACCAAGGTAAAAAAAGACAATCAGAATGTATCGAGTGTAAAAGGGCTATCTTCTTGGCCTTACCTCAGTTTTCCTGACATCATCTACCTGGGATGAAAAAAGAAGAATCTTAAATAAAACAAAATTATCTTAAAAGAAAATTAATAAACAGAAACATAGTAACTCTAAGTGAACAAACAGAAAACTGTGTTCCCCACCCCGCCCCATGCGCCACTTCCTCCTTTCTGTCGCTGTCTTTCTCAAGAACCCCTCTATGGAGCCAAGGAATCCTTGCGTTTCCCCGTAAGAGAATGTCAAATCTAACACAGTCGTCTAATTTCATTTTCACCACATCCCCTGTATTTTTACTCATTCTCAAGGTTTTATAAATTACCTTTTCAAGATTCATGTGATTATTTTAAAACTTAAAAAAGTGTTATCAGGAAGAAAAATGATTAGCAGCAAGAATAATTTCTAACATTAAAAAATTTCTAGTGTCTAGACTATGAGAAAACAAACTTTAAATGATTGTTTTATAGACACCAGACAAACACGAATTCCCCATGCCAAAACAATCTCTCTGTCAACTAAGAATGGAGTGAAAACTAAGATACTTTTTTGAAATGCATAAACAAATACTTTCCTCTAAAATACTTAGCTTTATTAGAGAAACGGTACTAAAAATAACAAAGATTCAAACATTTGTTCTATTCTACTTACATATCATAAATAAGACACCTATTGATGCAAGACACACACTCCTTCACAATCTTTCCGTGTGCACCCAAGCATTCCTGTATCAGTGTAAGCTGTTTATCAGCCAAACGTATGTGGCTGAATGATTAAAATGACCATCTATACTTTACATAGTAAAGCATTTTGGAAACTTTTAATGTACACAGTGACAAAAAGGGAAAAAACCAAACACACAGTAATTCTGAACACATGAAGATGATTAAGCAGCTTCATTATCAAACCAGGCTTCATTACTTGCAAAAGGGGCAACTTTTCCCAGTCTCCACCAAATACTTAAGTTTCAACAGTACTAACATTAAAAGAAAACTCAAGTTGAAACCAAGTAAACAATGTGCTACTCAGCTTTTATAATCTATAAAAGTAACTCTTCCCATGAGGTAAGGCAACTGAGTAACTTGATTGTATTAAATTGCATTAAAATAATTATACTTGATTTTTAATAATATGCTAATTAAAAGTATTCTTTTTTGGAAATAATGAAAAACCTTAGAAATTAGAAGTTATAATATTGGGGGAACCATTAACAATGTTGTCATTTTACTCCTCACATACTTTCTGCAAAACATAAGCTTGATGATGGATGATCTATAAACTCAAGTAAACATATCTTTAAACATAAAACAACCTCCTATATACACTTAGTCCTCCCTAAAGTATGATTTCTTTAACTTTTTTTTTTTTTTTTTTGGTACCAGGAATCAAACTCATGACCTTGCGCTTGCCAGGCATGCGCTTATGCTGCTGAGCTAAATCCCCTAAGGTATGACTTCTATACAATGTTTATGAGAAACTGATTGAGAGGCAATAATTAAGGCCATCCAATGTAGTCAACTAAAAAGTTTCCTTTGATTTGAAGACAAAAGAACACGTTTATTTTCAGTTATCACAGTATAAAACTGATGGTCCCAAAACTGCATTGTTTTAAGCTCTGAAGTCAGTCTTGCAAACGGGACTTCCCTTTCATACCTGAACTAAGTAAGAAGCTCTTATGACATACCACTTACACATGGGTTTGAATATCCATCTAGAGTCCATATGAATTGAGAATGACTAGCACATATAAAATTCTAGAAAACAGTATACCACATTGTAGAAGGCACTAAAGCTTCAGCTTGTGCTCCCATTGCCCATTTTGAAACCCAGTTTCTTTTTTATAAGGGCATCTTTGCCACCTACAGCTGACAAAACACACTGCAATATTCATAGTAAGGTTGGAAATGTCAAGAAAGTTTTAAAAAGTTGTGGGCAAACCCAATGATTCTCAACACTGAATACTAATACAGTATTCAACACAGTTGCTCTTCCCTTTGAAAGAGAACAGTAGCATGCATTGTCAGTTGTTTTGTAATCCACTTATTTAAGCAATTTTAATCTGTAAAACTATTTTAAAGAAAAACTGCTGTCCTAAACAGTGAGCAAAAAGAACACACAATAGTGAGAATTTAACAATCACTGTAAATTCTGTGAAGCAAATGTTAAAACTTCTTACATACTTTGCACTTACAATGGTGTGTATATATCTGCACCAATTTCAAGCACATCATCAAATTGTATATAATGAAATTTTTCTTTTAAAAAAGTAAAACAATACAAAATTCAGGAACTAGCATTTTTTAAAGAGCCATCAATGCTTATCTCCAGTCTTTAGGGATAGTACAAATTTGGATGACTGATGTTCAATTTATTTGCAATGGTTCCTGGCAAATACTAACAAACCACATGACAAATGTATCAGCCACCATGGAAATGCACAGATTTTAGAAGATGAAGAGTTTGGATAACCTGTGGTATTTTCACAATGTCCGTGCTTTATCTCCTTACTCAGTAACAAGATGTCCACAATATCACCTGACAATATTGGTGCACCTAACTTTATACTCAACTAGATCTCATTCCTGTTTACATCTTGTTCAAAGAATTAAAAGCTTTGGATTTTATTCCAGCGTTGAGTGTAGAGGTGCATTAGTTGGTCCTATACTGCTTCAGTTTTGGTAGAGAGGTTTTCTTCATTTGGCTGACAATTTCCATTTTGCTGTACTTTATTTTCTTCTGTCCTTGGCGTGTCTTTATCATCTACTTCTTTGTCCCCACTTGAATCTGGTTCTTTATTGTGCTCCTTTTCCTACAATGAATATTAAGGACACATTTACTGTTTTCTTCAAGAACTATGCAAGTTAAATAATGTTAACTTCATCTTTTGTAAATTAAAGAAACTAGGTAATTTTCTTTAATTATATGTTCTTTATCCTTGTCATAGAAGATGCAAAATTCATGGACACTAAATTAGAAATCAGTCCTAAGGAAGTATGTAACAAATATTGCCAACAGACTTAAAAAAGGGGAACAGATCTAACTGAAAGAATGGAAGAACTCCAAAAATGCCATGAGAAGCAAAAATAAGGGGATATAGAAAACAAAGCTAACTATTCCTGTGGTCATTAGTGTGGTCTTTCAACTGAACTGGGTCTTCGGTGTATCTGGTGAGTCATGGAGGCCCAGCCTTGCAGTCTGTACCTGGCACCTTGTCCTCCTCTCTGGTGTTCTTCCCTGCTCTGCTCTGCCATCAACTGAGAACCTTTGCTCTACCCACAACCTTGGAGCCAGTGAACAGTAGGCTGAAACTATAAGCAAATTAAAGTTTGGGTGTTGAGCATTGTGTTCAGGAATGGGAAAGCTAACAATTTCTCTCTGAAAATTTAAAAAGGGGCAGAGGATATAAATTTGTGGGAAAGTGCTTTCCTAAAAGTATGAGGCCTTGGTTCCAATTCCCAGTATTAAAAAATAAGTCTAAATTCTGTCTTCAGCTTAAAGGAGAATAAACAAGAATAAACAGTGCCTGGCACACAACATACATTTAATAAACATTACCCGTATCATCAACAATGAACCTCTATACAATCAATGCAAGTTCCAAAACATTTAATTTCCAAATATCAATACACTTTAGCAGGATAGTAAGGGATTTACAAGTTCTTAAAACATCTAAGAAAACACAGACTTGGTAGAACTTAGTTTTCTGTAACATAACAACATTCAACAAACCTAGTTTTTACTACATAATGCAAAACCAGTAAACAACAGTCTTGTTTGATAATGAAACACAAGGAAAATGACACCAGAAAAAAGTGTTTTTATAAGTGTATCAAGTACATTCATTATCTGTAGATTTTCTTGCTATTTATTTTTTTTTATTTAAAGAGAAACAAAAAAAATGGAGAGAAAAAAAGGGTAGAAATAATACAGAATTACAGAAAAATAAACAGTAAGAAATCACCAGTTGATAAGTTACATATTGTCATTTTAGAAATAGCTGTTCAGGTTACAAAATTAAAGTATGTAAAGTGACATTCAAACAGTGACACTGCCAACAGTTCTGCTCAATCAACCAACAAAAACTTAGTAATATGGTTATCAGTCCTACATACTTGTTTTTTATCTTACAGGGGGTAAGATTAAACATATCAAAACAGAACAACACAGTTCAAAAAAAAAACAATTTAAAGAAATTATCTGTAGATTTCCTAAAGAATTTATTGGCATGCTATTTCTAAGATAAGGAATGCAATTTATTTAAATTTTAATTGGCTCTCATCTCTTCAAAATTTAATTTTTAAAAATTAACAAGTATTTTAAAATACCAACAATGCACAAGATTCTCTTGCCCTCATGAAACTTTCTGTTTAAAACTGCTTTTAGGTGGAACTTGGTGGTGCACACCTATAACCCCCAGTACTCTGGCAAACTGAGGCAGAAAGACCCCAAGTTTGCATCCAGTCCTGGCACTGCAGTGCCATAGCAAGACCATGTCTCAAAATAAAAAATAGAAGAAGAGCTGGGTTCAATCCCGGGCACCGAATAAATAAATAAATAAATAAATAAATAAATTTAAAAACCTGTTTCTATGTAACACACAACAATCTCAATTATTCAGTAACCACAGTAACCAGGCACTGTTGCTTACCTTAACTGAAGCACTGTTCTTCTCCAACTTCTCCTTCCCATCTTTATCATTAGAACTCTTTCTTGTGGAGGTTGAACGCTCTCTTTCTCTTCTTTCACCAATATGGTCCCGTTCTTTTTCCCTCTTTTTATCTTTCTTATTTCTGCTATAAGAAGATTGATAATGTCAGTTAATTTATAAGAAATTAAAGACCTACGTTCTTAACAAAAATATCCATATATAACACTGGCTATCTAAAAAGATACACTTTAAATAAGCATTCTAATGAACTGATTTTACAAAAAAAAAAAAAACCAAACAGGTCATGTCACCCTCCTACTCTACTCCTTAGCCCAGTAGTTTTTTAAAGATACTCAAGTCATTTCGCAGCAGTCATTACTATATATGTCCAAAACACACCTTGAATTAATTGCTTTTGAAAAGTCACTGATGTAAGATAATTGCAAAAAGGACAATACTATAAATAATATATTGTTTAGGAAATGACAAGAAAAAACAAATCTCGTAGGGGTCGGGGAGGTAGTACAATGGTGAAGTACAGAGACAGCACATGTTCCTAGCATCAAAAAAATGAAACACTTCAAATTAATATATTTAGTGCAGATCCAAATTTTTTCCACATATTTTTCACCTGTGTTTGGTTTAATCTGCAGATTAGTAACAGGGTACAAACCAACTGTATTTAGTTTTAAATTTTGACTTTATTATCAAAACAAAAAAATCACAAGCAAGAAAATAACCATAAGGCCCTGGTGGAAAACATGTTGCTTATACTTTGGTAAAGTCTTCTAAAATAAATTTTTCCTCATAACTTAAAAAACCAGAGAATATCCATTGAAAAAAACTAAAAATGAGTAAAGCAGTGGGATTAAAAATTAAACATACAGATATCAGTTAAGTTTCCTTATGTACAAACCCAATCAATGCCTAATTAGGTGACATAACAAAAGAAAAGACGACTTTTGAGACCCTATCTTCTCCCGGAGAGTCAGTGCCATTCACTGACCAGAGGTAGAGAGAACAAGGCCACCCCAGCAAACAAGCCAAATCTGGAAACCAGCACCATGTATAGGCCTCCACTGGACTGGGAACAGCCAGACCCCAGCCCCTTCCAGTGCACAGGCTGGCAAACAAGTACCACCGCCACCCCCACCCCCACCCCCACCCCCACCCCCACTGTTAAGTGACAGGCTTATCTGGAGAAACACAAACTATGATGATAGTTACCAAGGTGAATGCCTGTAGTGCTCTATAGGTCTAGGGCCAGTGGTTTGATCATAGCTTCACAGGATAGCAGTATACAGTGTAACATCTAGGGGGAATCTTCTTCTGAGGGGTGCAGCCATTGGTAATTCCCTATGGTCTTGTTTTGAAGTCCTATATGGTTTGCATTGTTTTGTTGGGGTTTATTCTCTTTTGTTTTGATTATGTTAAATCCAATGGTAGGAGCAGCCATTTTAAACATAGTAAGATATTTATTATAGCAGAAATTTTGAATTTATTATTGCAGAAATTATAGCAGAAATTTTGAACTATTGGTTTGTTTTGAAATCCTTTACTGCATTCATTGCTTTGTTTTCATTGTTTCTATTCTATTTTTTACTCCATCTGAAGGCATCTGCAGCTATTCTGAAGACAGTAAAAGGCATTACAGTAACTATTTAGTTGATTTCATAATGTTTTGAAGTCCTCTATCTCTTACACTGTTTTGGTTTTGGGGGGTTTTTTTGGTTTGTTTTTTTCTGGCAGCAGAGATTGAACTCATGACCTTGGGTTTGCCAGGAAGATGCTTATGCCACTGAGCTAAGCTACACTGGCTTGTTTTGATTCGTTTTATTCTGTTTTATCCTCTTTTAAAAAAAACTGGAATTTAAAAAAAGACCACATTTACAAACTGAATAAGGAAGAATACATAGGAATAAATTTAGGAAATTTATATAACTTATACAAAACAATCAAACAAAGGAGAACAAGATACCATATTCCTAGACAGAAAGACTAAGCATCATAGAGCTTTATTTATTCCCAGATCTGTATATTCATTTTTCCCTAATTTAGAAATTTAATGCAATTATAACACAAATTGGCAGGTTTTTATCCTGGAACCTAAGCAACTGACTCATGTTCAGATGGGGAAAAAATGCAAGTATGGTTATGAAAGCTCAAAAAAAAAAAAAAAAAAGGTAATGAGGAACATGAAAGTGGGACAAGCCCAACCTTTTTTGGGGGGTGGGGTGGGGATAGTTCTGAGATTCAAACCTAAGGTTTCATACATACTAAGCAATAACTCACTAAGTTACATACTCAGATCCCCATTATTTTAAAATACTTTACAATTTCAATAATCAAAAACATTGGTTAACAGCAAATGAATGGTTAGTCAAGTAGATAAAACAACATAGAGACTCACATCCAAACATATACAAGAAAACTTAAGACTATGACAGAGACTGGGGGCTTTAGCTCAGCCATGTAAGTGCCTGCCCGGTAAATGCAGGATCGTGAGTTCAACCCCCGGTACCAAAAAAAAACAAAGACTATGACAAACCAACATTATCAACTTGTTTGACAATGACAATTTCTAATAAACAGTACTGGAATACACAGAAATATTTGGAAAAATAAAACTGGGTTCATGTACCATAGTATGTAAAGATATGTAAAGATCTAATAGACCAAAGATTTAAATGCAGTCACAAAGGGAAAAAAAATTGTGAAGTTTTAAAATAAAAACTTTTATAAATCAGTTTCATAAATTTCTAAAATGAAATGACAAATACTGTGAACTCCACGATCAAATCATTGAAGAATAATCTGCCTAATATAAAAAGAGCTGTAAAAGTCAGGTATGTTGCACATACCTAGAATCCCAGCTCTCTGGGAGGCTAACACAGAAGAATCTCAAATTTGAGGGCAGCTTGGGTAAAATTAGCAAGAACTTCTCTAAAAATAAAAAGGGCAACCAGGAATGGAAGCTGGTAATCTGTGCCCCAGAGGTTGCGGTAAAAGGATCATCCTGAGTTTGAGGCCAGCCTGGGCTACACAATGAGTTCAAGACCAGCCTGAACAACATAGTGAGAGACCTTGTCTCAAAAAAAAAAAAAAAAAAAAGAAAACTAAAATTTTTTTAAAAGAAGGCCAGACATGGTGGTACATTCCTATAATCCCATCACTCAGGAGGCCGAGGCAGGAAGACATGAGGTCAACCTGAACTACATAGCAAGACCCTATCTCAACCCCCACACACAAATAAAATAGGTAAAGTATAATATCACAGAAAAGGAAATACAAATAGCCTCCAAATATAGATGGTCACCTTCATATACAAGAGAAATGCCAATAAAATTACCCTAATAATGCCACTTACCCACCAAATGGACAGAAGCCCATAACTCTGATAACAATCTATTGTAGCTATTAAAAACACACCAACAGGGGCTGGGGATTTAGCTCAGCGGCATAAGCACCTGCCTTGTAAGCAGGCAGTCGTGAGTTCGATCCCTAGTACCGATAAAAACGAAAAAGACAAAAAAAACAAAAAAAACAAAAAACACACCAACAGCAGCATTTTGCTATACACATGTATAAAGCAATGTTAACTCCAAAGCTATTTATTACAGATTTATATAATTTGTCACAGAAAAATTGAGAAAACCCAGTATGCCACAGGTAGGTTAAATAAACTTCCGTACTGTCAAAGTCCATGCAACTATATACAGAATGAAGACACTGTATCTCAACAATACAGCAGCAACAAAAGTGTACAACAGTATATCAAAAAACAAGATATGGGGCTGGGGATTTAGTTCAGCGGCATAAGTGCCTGCCTTGCAAGCAGGCAGTCGTGAGTTCGATCCCTGGTACCGGTAAAAAGGAAAAAAGACAAAAAAAAAAAAAAAAAAAAAAAAAAAACACAAAAAACAAAAAACAAGATATATTCTCGTATCTGTATACAAAATTGGAATACACAGAAAAACTCATAATATCATTACTTCAGGGGACAGAATGGATGAATACATGGGTGAAAGACAATGTGCAACTGTTTAGATCAATTTCTTGAAGGATACAAAAGGTTATTACTCATTTAAAATACAAAATTTTTTAAATATAATTTTAAAACATTCTTTTTATCTCTTGCATCTTTAGTTTGTGAACATGCCTCCTCAAACTAACCTCCTAGGGGATGGAGACCTGGAAGACTTCCTTTTTACAGTTTTTGATGTTCTTGGAGACCTGGAAGAACTCCTGCTTCTCCTCCTGCGTCGATCCCTGAAAGCCAAAAATGGATCATTGAATAACAACTGAAATAACAGGTAAGTCAAACATAAAAGCAAAAGAGTTTCTGAATCCCTCAAGTGTGTAGTCCTTGTAAGAGACCTGTTTATTTCATTTACTGTACTTATGTTTAGTTTTGTTTTGTTTTTCTGCAGGGCTGGGGATGAATACTAGACATTGTGCCACTGAACTACAACTCTAGCCCCCAAAATTTCTTGAGTAGAAAAAATATACATGATGTTTATAAATGGTGTTGCAGTCTCTCAGATATGTTCTTCTGCAGCATCTGTAACACATTTTGCCTATCACAAGACATTGACTTTCATGTAATCCAGCTCCCTGCTGCCCCACTGTGGATTATTTTGCAACAAACACATTCTTCAAGAACTGAATTAGTCAGTTCTGCGAAATATGAACAATAAGCTCAAGTACTCCAAAAAGGCATTTAAATCAATAATCATTTTATAAATTGCTTTTTCCTCCAACCTCCTATCATTTTATTACTATTCTATTAAATTAAAATTTTGCAAGTTACTTAGATATAAAACAGTAACTTAAAATCTAGGATTCAAAACCATGGGGCACACGCCTATAATCTCAGCACTTGAGAGGCTGAGGCAGGAGGATCAATGCAAATTCGAGGCCAACCTCAAGTGCATACCAAAATCCTGTCTTTAAAAGACCAAAAAAAAAAACCACTAGGATTAAATATGGCAGCGTAAGTTATTAAATAAACATACATTATTAAAAACTTATGCTAAACTCATTAGTAAGTGATGCATAGTGTAAATTACTTCATTTTTAAGAGGGATCAACTTATAAACAATAAACTTTACCATGTCTATAATTCAAGGAACAAGATGTAAGGATACATGCATTAAATAATTAACATAAAGCTCAGACAATCACTGACCACATTAAATAGCTGAAACAAATCAATCCTTTCGAATACAAGTTCTCCTTACCATCTCGTATCTTTCATTTCTAAAATTAAAAACCAAATAAAGCTAGTATTATAAGTGGTATATATAGGAGATGTTCAAAAAGACTAAAGAAGCTCAAGAGTTGAACAACACAAATACTATTTAACCTGTTTATTCAACTGGAAAATAAGGAAGATTAATAACAAATCTTTACAGTGTTGTTACGAGGCTACAGTATAATATCATAATTCCAACCAGAGAGTCTGGCACAAAGTAGATATTCAATAAATACTTTTCTTTCCTTTTTTTCCAGTGCTGAGAACCAAACCCTCACACTGTGCTATACTCCTAGCCCTGTTTTATGGATTTGTTTTTATTGATCATAACTTTATTTATTAGGTCTTTTTTGAGGCAGGGTCTTGCTGTGCACCTCAGGCTAGCCTTCAGCTCACTTTGTAACCCATGCTGATCTCGAACTTGCAATGATCCTCCTGTTCCTGCCTCAGTCTTCTGAGTGCTGGGATTACTACAATTTTCTAAATTTCAAAATGTTCTTTAAAAATATCTATTAGGCAACACGTTAATATTTTAGAAAATTTCAATCCCTGGACAACTTAGCTAGACTCCAAAGTCTCAGGGGAAACAGCTCAATACAAAGGATTATATATCGACAGAGTGGGAGAGAAGACGGAGAATCAAAATGTGAAATAGCCTGTTTCTAAGCAATTGGTATCTCCTCTCAAGCCGGGTGTGGTGGCACTAGCCACTAAAGAGGCTAAGGCAGGAAGATGTTGCAAACTCAAGACCCACCTGGGCTACAAGGTGAGCTCAAGGCCAGCTGGAACTGCATAGTGAAACCCTGTCTCTTTAAAGAGAGAGAGAGAGCGAGAGAGAGAGAGAAACTGTGTTTGTTGAGCTTCTCTGAAGGAAAAACATTTCAAATTGTTGAACTCTTATGAATTAACACTAGCTGCTAACCATCTCCTATTCTTCAGGCTTCAGAAGTTATTTTAGGATTATCCAAACTTTTAAAAGATCAAGTGACTGAACATAGTAAAAAATTAATCCCCTTTTTTTTTTTGAGTTGCTGGGAATTGAACCCAGGGTCTTATGCATACAGAACAAGAGTTCTTCCACTAAGCCACATATCCAGCCCAAAAAATTAAAGCATTTCAGTCTTCAGAAGAAGTATTTGCGAGGTATTACAAAGAAACCAAAGCATCTGGTGCTATGAAGGAAAATGTCTAAATAGTCACATAATCACAAAGGCATGTATGACACAATCAGTAAAATCACTCTGCAGTGAAGATGCAGTCCCAGGCTAAACTGATAACCATCACAAAACAGGTGGAAGTTCTTCAGTTTTTGTTTCAATGTGCTGAAATGTGACAGTAATCTATTTAAATCCCACTGTAATATAAAATACTGCTTTTAACATTTAATGGTTCTGAAGCAGTGTTTAAAAGTAGATACCACATACTGGTTAGAGAATTCTCAAACTTAATTTCTAAAAAGAAGGAAAAGGGGTACACCATATTTCTAACACTAAATTATAATGCAGATGAACCTTTTCCCTAAGCTTCACTTTCTTCGTATTTTTAAGACACTGGTAACAATATTCTCACAAATTTGTGAGGGCTATGAGATATGAAAAAGTCTGCTGTTTGTCTTTTAATATTCGTCAAAGACTTTAATATTTGTCAAAGACTAATATTAATATACTCTCAAACTCACTTTTTCCTTCTGGGTTTTTTTTTTTTTTTTTTTTGAGACAGGGTCCCACTATGTAGTGCAGTCTGGCCTTGATCTCCCTTATATTGCCCAGGCTGGCCTGAAACTCATGATAATCTTTCTGTCTCCCAAGTGCTGGGACTATAGATGTGTACTACCACGTCCAGCCCAAACTCACAAATTTTAAAAACAGGAAAAATATTCCTTTATCTCGCATCATTTGCTATGAAAAAATGTTTCTGCTAAAGCATGTATTTTCTAATTTGAGATATACTTTGATGTAAGTAAGAAACTTTATAGTCCTGAGTCTGGTTACACAAGTTTGGATAACCTTGAGCAAGTCTCTCATTTGCAACTGCTCTCATGGCAACCTTCTGTCACCTGGCAGCAGTTTACCTATTACTAAATCAAGAGAACAGTTGGGGGAAATCTAATGTGCAGCAAAGGAGAATCAAAATTTAAATGTCTGCCTTTGGTTTTTTTTGTTTTTTTTTTTTTTTTTTTTTTTGAGACAAGTTCTCAGTATGCATACTACATATTTTGAGAGTGGCCTCAGACTCATAGTAATCCTCCTGCCTCTAACTCCCAAATGTTAGGATTACAGGTGTGCACTACCACAGCCAGCTCAAAATTTAAATGTCATGTATTCAACAGACAGGTAAAAACAGCATGGGTGACAGAAAAGCAATGATATTGCAACTTCACAAACTGCTTTGCATGTTAAAACTTATCCCACTATTCCAAAGAAATATACATAAGAGGTATATAGATAGATTTAACATATAAATATCTATTTATATCTATATGTATTTGTGCATATATATCTACGTATATGTGTATGTGAGGGCAACTTATATGTACATACAGGTATCATGCGTATGTATACACACAGAATTCTAAAATACCTTCCCCCAAGATCTACCCTGCATGGAAACAAAAGCAGTAATAATGATAATTAATCAAGGTTATGCATTATAAAGAACCACCAAAAACTTTTCAAATAATTTTGTCCCAACATCACTCAATACTGTAGCAATCTCTCAGCTAGAAAAGTCTTTACTTTTGGCGGGGGGGGGGGGGGGGGGGGGGTGTAGGGGGGGGGTTGCAATATTACTATATGGGCTCACCTTGCATAAAATCATTTTTCTTTTAGTTAAAAACTTTATATTTTCATTTGTCATCATTAAATCTCTCAATCAAAAAAATTTTTAAAGTATTATCAAACCTGCTGGAACTACGTGATCTTCTTGATGCATTGTAACTTCTGGGTGGTGTTCTGGACTTTTTATCCTTCTTGCGTTTTTCATCTATCTCTTTGGATCTGTCCTTTTCTCGTTCCTTTTCTTTGTCCTGTTCCTTATCCTTTTCTTTGTCTCGTTCCTTTTCATGCTCTTTTTCCCGCTCCTTCTCTCTGTCCTTTTCCTTGTCCTTTTCTCGGTCTTTTTCTCGTTCTTTGTCCCGGTCTTTGTTTTTTCCCCGTTCCTTCTCTTTTTCCCGTTCCTTTTCCCTCTCTCTCTCTTTTTCCCTTTCCTTTTCTCTATCTTTCTCTTTCACTCTTTCCTTTTCCTTGATCTTTTCCCGAGTATCTTTTCTCTTGTCCCTTGAAAAACAAAAATTGGTAAGTAAAATAATTCTCGCCTTTCTTTGGCAATTAGTGATAGAAAATCATTTACAATATGTATAGACATTACATATAGATTTATAAATCACTCCTGTACACATGAAGTTGCTCAAGAAAGCAATTGTCAGGCTGAGTTGAATTGTCTGGAAACCACACGAGTCACACTGACCATCAGATTCAAACCAGAGGCAGTCAACATTAATCCTATATTACTAAAACAATCAGAAAAAAATTATTTCTCATTAAAAGCCTAAATCACACACACAGTAACCACAGGCAGAATTATTCATAATTTCTCTAACTCACCGTGAACGTGAACGACTCCTTGATTTCCGTCTCTCCCTTGATTTAGAGCGTTTTTTGTGTGGGCTCTTGGATCTGCGTCTGTCTTTCTGTCTTGAACGTGATCTGTTATGGGATCTACTCCTGAAGGAAAACAAGTTGGCAGAAAATCAAAATCAAAACTTATTCTTAGAATTTCAATTGTAAAAAACTGAAGACTTCTTCTAAGAGAATTTAATGGTATTTACCAACATTTTAAAATTTGCCTTACATGATTTACACTGAGTTTACTTATGTATTTGGTTAGATTACTACATTAAGTTTACCGCAAATTTATCAGATATTTTGTCCAGAATGCAAAACAAAGAATTTGAGCCAGGCATGGTGGTGCACACCTATAATCCCAGCACTCAAGAGGCTGAGGCAGGAGAATCACTGGGAGTTCAAGGCCAGCCGAGGCTACATAGTGAGTTCAAACCCAGCCTGAACTGCACAGTGAGACCCTGTCTTTAAAAAAAAAAAAAAAAAAGAAGAAGAAAGAAAGAAAGAAAGAGAAGAAAAAAGAATATGATAGCTATTTCCAAAGTCACACGTAGGCCGATAGCTTCAAGAGTGGGAAAAAAATAATATATTCCTCAAGTTATTCTGCAATAGTTATTCTATTCTTTAAGTTGCTGACAAGCTAAATTTTCAATGCCATAAATTGTCTTTAGCTCCTGGCATGTTTGTAAGCGGGTTTCAACTCAACTTGACAGGTAGCAGTAGTTACATATTTCAAAGTACTTTCCTTTTTTTTTTTTGAACAGGGTCTTGCCTGTAGTTCAGGCTAACCTGGAACTCATAATACTGTTCTGCCTCAGCCTTTTCAGTGCTGGGATTACCAGGATGTGCCACCGCACCTGGACAATTCAGAGTAATTTCTATAAATGGCCTGTACTATTTGGCACAACAAACAGAAGCACAGAACTTAATAACAGTGCTAGTGTAACAGAAAAATAAAAATCTTTACCCATAAAGTAAAACGAGATATAATCAAATGTTAGATTTGAAATGCCTTCATTTTATAGCTCTAACTATAATCATAGCTACTGAAAGAACATTATTATTACTCTAGGAAAAGCAATTCGATTCTCTCATTTCGATTCTGAATAAGGCATCCTTTCCCAACTAAAAAAATGAGTTGGGGGGTTCCTTTGATTTTTTTCATAATGAAGTATTCCAGGCACTACTTTAACAAAATAGATGCACACAACTTAAGATAACGAAGGGATCAGACTCACCACCAACTTTGGAGTATAATAATCTGACTCTGAAAGCCAGTCTGCCAGAAAGCAAACTCAGAAGGCTCTCACTAGTCACTAAGCTCACAGAGTAAAAATCACATCTGCATCCCCTATGACTACTGTGAAAATTAAACCATAAAATGTATGGAAAGCTGTCTTGCAGTCTCCCAGCACAATGAATCTCATGCTTAAAACTCTTGCTTTCTCAGGGTCATCACTGTCATCAACATTTAACACAAATGTAAACTTTAAATTTTATCTTTATTAATTCAAACAAGTTCTAATGAACTTCCACAAGTACCACGGTCATCTTTATGGTTACGTTTCAATAAACTAAATTAGAATAAAGATCTATAAAATAAATACACAGTTATATAACCATACTTGTGGTATGTTCTGAAACCAAAAACATCACCAGATAATACTAAACACCCCAGGCCTAATACAGCGGACTGAACCCAGGACCTTCACGCTGAACTATATCCGTAGCCCTTTTTCAATGTATTTATTTTAAGGCAGGATGTAAATTGGCCAGACAGTGCTTGAACTTACATTAGTTTCCTAGAGTAATACAGGTGTGCTTGGCTTGAAAACTTACTTTTTTTTTTTTTTTTACATTTATGTTTTGGTACTGGGAATCAAACTCATGACCTTGCTCTTGCCAGGCAAGCACTTGCGCCACTGAGCTAAATTCCCAGCTCCTTGAAAACTTATTTTAAAATACATTTTTCAATTAGCTGAAATCTGTTTTCCTACAACTGATTTTCAACTACTCATCTATTATATGGCTTTAAAGATAATACATCTGACTTTGCACCACACTTTTAATGCAAGAAGTGCACTCATTGTTATTACAAATCTTTATCACTTAGAATCTGAAAAATGTAAAGGTCAAGTAGTAGGTATTAGGCAAAACTACAAAATTTAGGAAATCTATTTATAGATATTCACATAGGATCATCTTTTAACGTAGTTTTGCTGGGCCAGGGATATAGCTCAGTAGCACAGTGCCTATCTTGCAAATGCAAGGTTCTGAGTTCAGTTGCCAGTACAAAATAATAAATAACAGCCTTTGCTTTCACATGCTTAGTAAAATTTGAGATTTTTGTTCTAGTTAGCCTTGCTAAAAATATAAACAGTTCTTTTGTTTTTCTCAAAGCAGTGCCTTCCAACATTAAAAAGGAACTTCCTTTAAAAAAAAAAAAAAGTACAGGCCTAATAAATGAGTTAATAATAAAAGAAAAAAAGCACTAATTATTTGGCTTCCTACCTTACCCTGTAGGTCCCGAGAATTCAAAAGTCACTGCTCAAGAGTAATTATTATATTTAAATTCTGACATTAAAGATTTCATGTCTCTATCTCACCCACTAGTAGTTTTCTGGTTAAGAATGCTAAAAGCAGTGAAGAATAGGTCTAATCTAACCAAAGATAAAAAAGAGTTGTTATTAACAGTTTCTACATTTTTAATAATTTGCAAAATTATATTTTGAAGTTAAATTGTAAATATACAGCAACTTACCATCATACTGCTTCAAAGTTCATTTGTAAATTAGTTGTTTTCCATTAAAACATTAAAAAGTGTCTTATACTTCCTATGTAGGTCTATAAAGATTACTTACCTTTAAATTACAATTGTAGTACTACCCACCTTTTCTAAAGACTCTTTTTAAGAATAAAACATGTATCAAATTTGAACAAAATGGAAATGTATCTAAACACTAGCCAAAGACACAGTCTCACGGAATTCCCTCTTCCATTTTACAGCAAGAAGAGGAAAGAACAGAAAAAAGAGAGAAGGTACTTGTGGGAGAAGTGTCACTATTTTTCTTTTTTTGGTTTTCTGAGACTGGGTCTCACTACACAGTTCAAACTGGCCTTGAACTCACTATGAGCCCAGGCTGGCCTCAAATATGCAGTGATCCTCTTACTCCAGTCTTTCAAGTGCTGAGATTACAGGTGTGGCCATATCTGGCCTCATTAATCCTTTTAAATTGACACAGAAAATAATTGTACATATTTTTATGGGGTGCACACAGTGTAACAATTGAATATATGTATACAACATATAGTGATCAAATCAGAATAATGTAGTATTTCTAGCTCCTTAAATATTTACTATTTCTTTGTGCTGGGAACCTCTGAACTCTTCTCTTTTTGGTTCTTTATAAAACATGTAACAAATCATTGCAAACTACAGTCACCCAACTGTGCTGGAACTTGAGACCTTACCCCTACAACTCAGCTGTATTTTAGTACCCATTATCCAACCTCCCTCTACTACTCTCTCTCAGGTGACCAGAACTCTACTTTTATGGAAGCAAATTTTTAAGTTCCCAGTGTGACTCGTAGTTTATCTTTCTGTTCCTGGAAAAACAAACTCTAGAAGCATCTGAAGATGAGAGAAAGGTAGAAAACGGTAGGCCCAAGAGCAAGGACTCCTGTTAAGTCTAGTGGGTTAGAGCGAGACCAAGAAAACCAGTTCCCACTGGCATGGAGGGAAAGCCAAGCAAGGCCTGTCATACCCTTCCTGACTCCTGGGTGACAGAAGGGCTCTCCAAGAGCCCTTAAGACAAGGTCAAGAGCCTTAAGCCAAATGTCTGTCAGTAAGATACATTCTTTTCGATTCCCTTAAGGAAGTTATCCTATTTCACACTTATGAACTTCGTAAAGGCGATGTGATTCTATATGCATGTGTAATAAAAGTAGATCGTATTGACCTAAATCCAAATAAAACGCTTAGGGCTATGTGTACCAAGACCTACTGATTTCTAATGCTACATAGATAACATGAACGTACTCTCATGACAAACAAGAACAGTAAAAAATTTCAATGCAGACTGAATAACAAAAACAGGAAGAATATACACATAAATACAGTAAAAACCTTAAAACGGTAATGGACAAAATATTTGTTGTAATTTCAAAAGCCACATAAAGCTTCACATAATAACGAACCAATGATGTTAATCATCAAGTTTTAGTTTCTCCAGCCTTAAAGTTTGATTATCTCTTATAATAAATCCCTCAAAATGAAATTCAGGACATTAATCTTTTTTTCCTAGAAGAACTTATTATTCTTCAACAAAATCTTATATTTTCCTGATTTCATTTACCCTGACCATAACCTGTCAGCATGTGGAAAGGCCCACAGTCCAGTACTCAATGCCACTGTTCTGCCTGCTTTCTCCAATTCTGACTCCAGCTGCACTGCTTTGTATTCCTTGCACATAAAACAAATGGACTTCACTTGATTCTGAATTTGCCTTACTGTAAGATCATAGACCCAACAAAACAATATTCCAAAGGAGATTTTGCAAACTAAGAATAGATAAGTATAGAACAGCAAACTGCCAATAGTTTAGTTACTAGAGTAAAGAAAGAACATTATAGTAGTCTGTTTCATTTCTTGAAATCTTCCTGATCATCACAGAAAAACAAGCCAAACTGAGCTTGCTTGTGAGGCTCAATGTACAGTACCCAGTTCTTCCTTTCCTTTCTCTAATATCCACACTCATGCCCACTTTTCTGTCCCTCTTCAAGACACGAGTAATATAACATGTAATTAGGGTCCACTACATGCCCTTTCAAAGTCCCTTCCACACCCTAAAGCAATAAAAAAGAGAAAATTAAAAAGCTGTAACTCTGATCAAAAACAGGATAAACATGACAGAAACAGAGCTTAAGCACAAGACAATGTTGTTCCTGAGGCTGCATGTTATTGCACAGTTTCATTAGTGGGCAGAGGAGGCTCTTAGCACGAGGAGTACCAAGAACTTGAAGAACTCCACTTGACACATGGTCCTGGAGAAAGAAAACTGCTTGGAACCACATCTAAGGTAGTGTTTCCCAGACCTGGAGTGGACTGGGGGAAGAGAAAAAAAAGCTGCAACCCAGAAAGTATTTTCAACATAGCCCAACATAGCTCAAAAAGACCCCCCCCCCAAAAAAAAGTTCTTCTTTGGTGGGGGGGTCTTTTTGAGACAGGGTCTGGCTACGTAGTTCAGGCTAGCCTTGGGTTCACTTTGTAGCCCAGGCTGGTCTCAAATTTGCAATGATCCTCCTGCCTCAGCCTCCTAACTGCTGGGTTACAAGAGTGCACCACTACATCCAGCTGTTCCTGCCATTTCTATCTAAAGACTAGCATACTATTAGAAAAATCAAGCAGAACATCCAATTTTTTCAGATACAATTCAAATCTAGGATCTCACACATACTAGGTAACCACTGTACTACGGAGCTACATCCACAGCCCAAGAATAGAGAGCATCTTTAGAAATACCAATAGCTAAAACTGAAAAGTAGTTGAAATATTAAAAATTATCAGATGAAATTTCATCCTAACTATAGTACTATAATCAAAGCAATTTCTAAAGGCAACAACAAACAACAATTCCAGGTGAAAACTATGAAATTTCTAAATTGGTATTTTAACAAAAATTCATACATTCTTATTTTAAATACGAAATTTAAAAATATGATAGCAGAAACTCTCACCTGTGTTTTGACTGTGATCTTTTCCTTCTAGAATGGGATTTTGAGCTAGACCTGGACTTTGAGCGAGTATGGGAACGAGATCGACCGCCTTTTCTTTCAGTGCTCTTTCCAGACTCTGGGAGGAAAAAACCACTTTGCAGTGTAAGCTCAGAACAATTAAAGATCCCAGTTAATAATTAAGCACAAGTGGAATGTACCACATATAGTGCAAGGGGCCTACTCTCTGTACATCCTCCGCCTGTGCAATTATCCTTCAGAAACATCCAAGAAAGTCATTGCATAAACTCGTTGAGTGCAGCCACCCTGCAGCAGTACATACAAACCAGATGATTATAAACAGCTGTTCGTAATATTTTGTTGCTGCCATAATGTACGATTAACACATGTCTGCAATTCCTATGACAGTGATTTTACATTCTTCCTCTATTCATCCTGCTGGAACTGAAGCTTAAATTCTGAGTGTTAATTTCAAAAATCCAAAGGTTTATTTATAAAAACAAAGGTTTGACTGTTCCTTTACCTTGTTAAAAATGCAGTATCTGTATTTTTTCCTAAACCACATATCTTTTCTAGCTTTAAAATTAAAACTTCAAGGAAAGTAAGCTTGCTTGAATGCAACACTTTAAATATATCCGCATTTTCTTTTTAGTCTCTTACTTATACTTTGATTTCAGCAAATCAGTCTGAACACCAATTTTGCTACTAAACTATAAACAGCTACCTCAGGCTGGATTTGGTATTATAGGAAAGGACAGGTATGTGCTGTTATTCTTCAAATAAGCCACTTACTAACAGAAATTCAATCTTCTTAGTGGTAGAACAAAGTGACTGAACAACACAATTTCTAAAACTCCTTTAAGTCCTAAGATTCTGTGATCTTTAAACTATAACCTAGGTAGCAACACTACGGCCTTACCTGGTTCAATGGCTGCTGAGATAAATGACTGAGCCTCTCGCACTCGCTTCATTACTTCTTCTAATTCTTTAGCTGCAGCCTGAGGTGTCATCTCAGGGGGTTTTACTATTGCATTGTTGGAGTGATTTATTCTAAATTAAAAATATTAGCATATCACATACACACACCATATTTTATAAAACATGAAACACTTAAAAGTTAATATGATACATATTTAAAATCTGAGGACAACTCAGAAGCACATTAATACAGCTAAATAAAGAACAAACAATCTCATTTACATCCCATCGTCACTTGCTAAAAGGAAGGAAAAAAGAAAAGCTTAATCCTCACAAACTTTTTTGCATAGCACAAATACACCAATATACCAGACCAAGTGTCTACATGGCTTATAATAATAAATCAAAATGTCGATATCAATATTAAAATGAATCATTTTTATCCTCAGAGCATAAGATTTTATTGTTAATCTGTATACCCTGGGAAGGGAAAGCTCTGTATTTTGTGTATCATTTTAATCAACCCTGTTCAATGGCTTAGACACAGTTTTGAACACAGTAGAGATCTGATAAAACTTCCACTACTATATAAGAGAAGGTTTCCTGAGGCTTCATCTGAATCTGATGTGTCTTGCCTTATCCTTTCCACAACGAAGATAAGCACCCAGTACTCTAAGAACGATTATTCACCCTTTAACAGCAAAATACTGATCAAATTGCATAACTAAAACCATCACCTATGAAACAGGTAACTGTCTGCCTCAGTAATCTGCACGAAACAGAATTTCTGGTCTTGAGTATATAAAACATTACATCAACTTTTACAAGTAAGAAAATGAACAAAAGTCAAAATGTCTGGTTTAAAACATTTCTGGGCACTTATTTTCTTCATGGGATTTGAAATTTAGCAAAATATATTATTACTTAAAGTACTGTGGTTCAATCAACACTTTAAATTGCTCATAAATCTAGTCACTTTATAAAACCAATCCCCAGTAAAGTTTATAGAAAAACACAACACTATTATGAAGTTTATATGTTAATATAACTTCAAAACAGAAAATGAGAAAATAAAGACAAATGTCCTCAAACACAACTTTAAGAAAAGGCTAAAATGACATGTATTTCATTTATATACTTAACAGTCTTCCTTTCCACAAATTGCCAATTACTGTTAAAAAGAAAAAACAATTCCATCAAATATACTTTAATTTTTTCAAAATCATTAGAATTTCTTTGTTTAGGATTTCTTACTTCAGTGGCCTGTCTCCAAACATAACTCCATTAAAAGCAAGGGCCCTTGGTACAGAATTTTGGTCTGCAAATTCCACAAAAGCAAACCGAGTTGGTTGAGTCTCATCACCTGCCATTCGCACAAACTTCACTTCTCCAACTTGTTTAAAAAATTCAAGTAGTTGATCAGCTGTGGTTGTCTGAGGAAACCAAGTTAATATTTTTAATAGTGATACTTCTTTCAAAATCAAGTATATATTACTTTACCAAGTTGAATTTTAAGAAGAGAAAAAAGAGTAAAAGCTACTGCAATTTGGTTTCTTTAGTTACCTGGGAATTCAAATTTCCAACATAGACTGTTCTCCTAATTTCATCAATTTTGGAAGGATCTACATTTCCCATAAGTGGTGGTTGTGGTATCTCTCCAAGTGTTGCAATGTTGGGATCTAGTGCGGCTGCTGGAATAGCTCCCAAACTGCTAAGTGAAACACCAAGCTGTAAGGGGAAAAACACACACAACCAATAGCATATATTTTCTATTAACATCCCAAACTACCATTCTCTAATCTTGAAAAACAGATCAACTCAACAAGAATAAAAGACTAAGGACTCCTACCTTTAAACCATATATATTTCTAAATTATTAAAAGTGAGGTGACATTAATTTTGAAATTCTCAAAGTAGTTACGTTCTATAACATTTCTATAAACAAAATTACTGGCTACTGAACCACTGTTCCAGGAAAGATAAAAGGTTATGTTACTAGGAATCTCAGTCACATTTTCATCAACTACTAAATATGTAATTCTTTCATACATGTTTCTTATTTAATAATAAGGCACTTTATTTAACATGCACTGGTGCTACATTAACATTGAACTCAAGGTCTGTAACATTACAACTCCAAATAATCTGTTTAGCTAACACACACAATTTGTTTCTAAGGCATGCTATGCACTGCCTCCAATTTCTTTAGCATTTGTCTATGCAGCAAAATAAACACCAAGAAGCATAAAAATTTTAAAAACATGCAGTATATGGAGCTGGAGGTTTGCTCAGCAGCATAACGCCTGCCTTGCAAGCAGGCAGTCGTGAGTTCAATCCCCGGTACGGATAAAAAGGAAAAAGACAAAAAAAAAACCATGCAGTATGCTGATTTTACAGCATGAGTACCAAAACAAAAAGGTCAAGTATCACTTTAACTTAATTAGAAACATGCACAATTAGTTACTCAAATGGTTTATTACTCTGTATATTTCTGTAAATGGGCACAAAGTACTACAAATAGTGATTTTAGGGTTTCAATAAATTTTTACTTATTAAGTGAATGCATAAATGTAGAATTCACAGTCAACTGTAGTTTGCTCATTAAGAATTTTCAATTGTGTGCATTCCTAATTATTAAATCACAGCATCTCATTTTGCTGTCATTAACTTCATCCTCTGTAAATCTAAAAATAGAGACAAAGTTTACCTAAGAAATACCTAAAACAGTAAGTTCTCAGGTATGCTATGGTAGTGAACTTTCCAGAACATTACTAAATTTAGCAGATTTACACATAAAAGAACATGTTGTTTTTGGAAATACTAAAGCCTTCACACTAAGCTACATTCTCAGCCCTTTATTTATTTTTAAACTTTGAGACAGGCTCTTGCTAAGTTACTTAGTTGCAAATGGATATACAACCCTCCTGGTACCAAGCATAGCAACAAAATGTTATCTTTACTGTAACTTAAGCTGAGACAAAAAAAAATCTATAATGTGAAAATGGGGAAAATTTTTCAAAATTAACAAAACAGTTCAAGGAACAAAAAGAAAACACATCCACTTTCATTGCCACTTACGCTACTCCAGAAAATTTTGAACACAAATGTTCTATACACTACACTAAGTTTTAACAACTATTAACTAATGACACTTCCCAAAGGTGATAACATAATTCCTAAAACCAATGTCATTCCTTTTTACCACTTTTAAAAAGTCCCAAATCATGTTTATACTCTTGTTTAAAACTCCTTTCCACAATCTAAAAAGCCCTACATAATCACTGTCCTAACCAATTTCAAGTATCTATTGCCTTACCCTCACTTACTATGTTTTAATCACCTGATTCATCAGCATTCTGGTTTTTCTTTTTTGGGTTTTTTTTTTCTTTTCTTTTTGGTACAGGGGATCAAACTCATGACCTTGCACTTGCCACATAGGCGCTTATGCTGCAGAGCTAAATCGCCAGCAAGCCTTCTATTTTTTGAACAGAAAAATTCAATCAGAAAGTGTTGCCATGGTGGAATATAGTAGTGCACACTTGTGATCCCAGCACTCAGGAGAAGCTGAGGGAGGAAGATCACAGGAGTTTAAGGCCAGCCCATGCTACAAAGTGAGTGAAAGATAGGTTGATCTGCATAATGAAACTCAGTCTTAAAAGACAAAAAAAAAAAGTGCTAGCTGACCCAGGTAGCATACTTTGGAAATCCTTCCTCTTGGGAGGCTGAGGCAGATCAGCTGTCAGTTCAAGGCCAGCCTGAGTGACATACTGACATACTGTCTCAAAAAACCAAACAAAAAAGAAGTTATGCCACCTTGGGTCACAATACACATTTCCAGAATAATGTATGTAAAAATTAAAAAGATCTGAAGTTTACACATCAAAGTTTTAAAACAGAGTTTTGATACACTATAATCACTAAGATTAATTTACTAATTTATTCTGCATGCAACAACACAAAGCTAGAGTCAGTTTTCAATTAAGGTAAGCTATGTTACTCTGTTTTAAGTTTTTGATGAAAAAATGGCCCTTCTTTATAAATGAGCAAGACCAGAATCTTTTATACAAAACCAAAAACCAAGCAATGGTAGTATCTTTTAATCCTTAGAAATCACACAGGAATTAATTGCTATTTAATTCTGCATAGTTCGTGGCAAAATACATTTGCCATGTGTTCATATGAGATGAACACTTCTCTGAGATTTTTTTCCCCATTACCAGAGTTGTTGATCATCTCAAATTTTTAAAATGGATTTAGTTCTCATTAACTAGGAAGTTACCAAGATCCTCCAATTCCTTGTGCTATCTAAAATACTGTTTCAATAAATGTTTTTTTAAAAAGTACTCTATTTGAATTCCCAAATTTAAATACAGCCTTACTTATTAGCAATAATTACAAAAGGCAGCTTAAATAAGTGATAACAAAGGGGAAAGACTGTAAGTGAAGATTTTGAAATCTCTCCACTTAAAAGAATAACATCTGAAACAGAAATAGTTTTCTAAGCTATTTATTCAACCGATCACATAATTCAGTGTTCCTCCCTTTCACATGAGGCACTTAACCTACAAACAGCACTTACTGTGGTCAAGGGATTCGGGGTCGGTATGGGAAGCAGTCCTGCACCAGGCATCAGACTCGTCATGGTTGGAGCAGGAGCCAATAAGGAGAGGGCTTTGGACTCCTCTGGGATTTTACCTGCAGAGGTAAGTTCCAGACATTATGGAGAGCAGAAACACCACACCAGCTTTACACTACGATTTACAATTACCCTTGCACTTAAAAAAATAATAATAATAAATGAAGCTAGCTATCAGATCTGCATAAAGAAATAAATAAGAACTTAAGTCTTTCCTTTTAGCCTGCTCTACTAGGAAAAATAAAAGTGAGCAAAACTTCAAAGACTAACAATCTCATTAATGGAATATTATTTTAAAAACTGAATAATGTAGACAATTATTTAACACTTTGAGCTATGGGTCACCTGTACTGGAAACTTAATGTTCATGAACCAAACGATATCAAGCATGGACGCTTTCCCAGGACGGTGTTTTCGCGGTGATCGAAAGTTGTGTTACACATGACAACCGTTCGTGTTGGCTGCATCACTAATAGCACACAGAACATCAGATACAGAAAAGAAGAACATTTTTTAAAGTTTAATCCCCAGAAATGGCAAATAACCAAATTAGTCAAAAAAAAGAAAAAGAAAAAACAAATATGTGCGAATTGAAATTTGTTCCTTAAGAGTGTCCCTATCAGGCTGCTGAAACTACCTACTTGTGATGCAATTTTGATAACCCTTCAATAGATTCCATTCAATTTCAAATAAACAGAAAAAACAAAACCTACTTCATATCATGACCTTCAATTTCTTTTTGTTTTGCATTTTGTTTTTTGAGACAGGGTTTCATCATGTAGTCCAGGCTGGCCTCAAACTCACTAGGTAGCCCAGGCTGGCCTCGAACTTTGGCAATACTCCTGCCTCAGTCTCCCAAGTGCTGGGATTACAGGCATGTGCTACCATGCCCAACCTAATCATCTTCAATTTAAAAGGAAATCTATACCCACTCAGTTAACAAGGCATCTCACGAACATTAATGGTGCCTAAAGAATATGCCTTGGGAAACTGCTAAAAAATTAATAACAAAAAGTTTCCTACTTTCTGAAAACATCTTAAGACACTTTTAGAATCAATTTATGTATACTTATCTGGAGAGGCAGTTAATGCTTAATTGTCTTGCTTATAAACATTTTAACTGTCTAAAAACAGTAACACTAAAAATAATCTTAGAAACTAAAAAAAAAATGCCTTCAACCTGAAAAATGAAACAAGCACATAATTTCCCATAATTAACTGCTAAACTTTTTTGTCAATTCTGATAGACTACAACTTTCGTATTTTTCCTTATCTTCTTACCAAAATAAACTGTCTTGAAAAGCTGCAGGTATACAACTACTCATCTGCTAGCTGGCTATGCACTTCCATTACAAACCTATCAAAAGTGTTTTAATCCTATGTACAAATTCACACTAAACTGAAAGTTACGTATTAAATTTTCAAAAGCACCACGCCTGGTTTTCAGTGCTAAAAATCTTACTTAAAACAACCAGATGTCCAGAGATAAATCTCTAAACAATATTACCTGAATATATCTCTAAACATGGATTAAATTTTAAAACTTGTTTTACATGGTTATATCTTATCTATAGAAACAGAGTAAAAATTACATTAGCTTTAGCAAATGCCTATTTTTTAACTTTATATCATCTAAACTTCTAACATTTTAACTAATTGCAAAAACAAAGTTACTTCAATCTAAACTCTGGAGAACAATTTCTTAACATGCACAAAGATAAGCAAAAGTTGACCTTATTGAAGATACTAAATAACAATAATCTATTTTATATGTATGTTACTATTAACATGTATTTATACTCAGATATAAACATTATATTGATATCACATTCATTTCATCTATTACAAACAGGTACTATTTTTTAAAAAGATCTGTAGAACCTGAACACCCTTGATAAACCACCCAGGGACCTGAAGTTAAAAACCCTATGCTTCAATATACTAATTTATACACCCAAAAAAAAACAAAAGTGCTAATCTAGCAGAGATGTGCCAAATTTAGTATTACTTGCCAATTAATAAGCACAACTATTCATAAAGACAGTGTAAAAAGAATGAAATGAGTTTTCAAAATGGGCTAAAAGCTGATTACTCAGTATTATGAAAGTCTTACTTCTGGGTCAAATATCAGTAGGTTGTCAGATTCTCACTTTCATGATAGTAATAAACACTATACATCTGTAATTGCCAGTAACACTATTTTTGTCTTATTCTATTCAAAATATCCCATTGCTTAATTTTCAAAGTAAAATTCTATTGAGTTTATCTCCGAAATACAAGTTATATAAAAGTATAAAACAATCATTTAGCATTTTTCCCAAGCTGCATTCCTCAAAAACAACTAAAACATCTCTCATGTTATTGAAGTATAAACTTCTGAAGCCACTTATAAACTAGTAATATCTGAAGAATTTTCAACTTAAAAAACTCAAGCAAACGGAAAAATTTACATGCAAATAATTAATAGTGTCTCAAATATCCATTCCCCACACAGGCAACAAAGTCTTAAGACAAGGAAATAAGTTGTATAATAACTACCATAAAAGTGAAAGACCTTCCAGATAATTGTAAGAAATTCACTTGTTTTCCTTGATGACTTTGTATGTCTAGAATTCTACAGGGGAGGATAAAAAGTAAAAGCCATTAATTGGTTTTTACGAGAGATGTAGACTTGGAAAAAAAAAACCTAGAAAAATGTTGAACTGAGATCAGAAAGTGTTCCTAAGATTCCTGTGTTTTAATGTTTCAAGAACAAAATGTACCTGATCAATCTGTAAGTAACCATTAAGACCCACTAAGCTTCAAAGTACCATAGTATTCTAACTTACTGCATGAAAATTTATCTTAAGGTTGAGCTCTGTTAATCATCTCCTGATATAATTTGCAACACGTTATGAACTTTAATGGAATACCATTTACAAAGAACTGGAAAACCAGCTCACAAGTTAAAGTGAAAGAAATTTAACAAAACAAAAACAAAAACAAAAACAAAGGGACAAAATAAAGAAAAAGAAATGAAATCAAAGTAAAACAATAAAAAACAGAGACAGGGCGTCCATCTTCTGCGGTTCAGACTCCGATCTCATTTCCCCAATGAAGGTTTCACTTGACGGCAGGTTTAGTGGCATGGCAAACAATGCCTAACTCAGGCAAGTGTAACAGGTCTGCCTTGGCCAGTCTAGTCATCTAATAATGCACAAATATCACATAGAGAAAACATACAAAACCAAATTAATAGTCAAAATCCATCTACCAGAAAATGTGGACATAAATTTATGACTGATGATTAGGCTGACACCTCTGATATGTTTGACCTTAACTTTGCTAAGTGTTAACATTTATAAAAAGAAATCTGAAATGCACGCAACAACAAAAGAGGTCATATTTACACAAGTATAATGAAAATATACTTTATTTTGAAATGGCCTATTTTATGAACAATAGTTAATGCTTAATATGTAGGAACCTGTTACACATCAAACAGTACTTATACAGCTTAGGATCTTCTGTTACTGTCTGAACTAGAAAGAGCAAATTGCAAGAAACTAAAACACTTTTCTGACTATTTTCCCCTCCATGGTTTTTCTCACTTATGTCATAGTACTTTTTCTATGATGTCAAGCAAAGAATGCAGTCTATGAAGTACACTATGGACTGCTCAGAGCACCACCTCACATCATCTCTTATAGAATCCCTTCACTGGAATTCTTTCCTTAGCTTTATTTCAAATTTGCTCTGCTATGCTTTTTAGTGCAAGAATGCATTATTTCTTTGTTGGCACTGCATAAGCAGACTTTCACTATGAAATATTTCAATTTCCACAAATTGATCACTACTGTATTTAATATAACTTTTAAAAAGTACCTGAATCTTTTATAGTACCAAAGATTTTCTAGCATCAGTTATTTCTTATGCTATTTATTAGTAATGTTAAGTTCTTCTAAGTCAGTGTGCTGCAATACTTCTAATAAATTGCAATAAAGTATGCTGAAATTTTTGTGTTCAAAAATAAAACTTTGTATCAAAATAAAAACATTTAAAATCTGTAACTATGAATCTATTCATCTCTATCAAGTAAACAGTAAAAGGAACCTCTATATGCCTATAACCTTGAACATTTATGACAAATAATAAGAGCTTCTCTATTGTACAAAGATTTTATGCAAACATACCAAGGTTCCAACAAAGCATCACTGACAAAACTTTTTTGCCTTACAATTCAGCAGTGATCTAACATTAAGCTCTTGTGCTGCTGGTGGAATAATTTTCTGACACAAATTCCAGTTTAATATACCTTCTATTTAGTTTCTTTTTTCCCGCAGTTTATATGAAATTTCAGTAGAAGGCATATAAAATTAAATCATTAACCAGCTCCTTTCCCAGCTCATTCTCAAATATCGGGCTCATTGTACCCTTAACAGAACATCAGGTAAGGATAAATACTTGTTACACATGAACAAACAATTAACTTTAACCCATTTTTATTTCCCTACCCACTCTAACCCCCAAAATATGGGAAAGACACTTTCAAATTTATCTGAAAAAAATCTAGAATGTTCTAGTCTTGTGATATCCCAGACAAGGCATTCTAAAATAAGCATAAAACCCTGAAAGTGGGACAAGTAGCTTACTAACATAGTTATTTTAATGTTAACCTGGTCACTACAAAAAGGTCTTAATTAAAAATTATGTATAAAAACCCAACAAATTGTTTCTGGTGAACTTTTGTTGTAAAGTAATTATTACCAACCACAAAAAATATCTACTTGTGAGGACACTTTTATTTGCCATAACCCATGTACACATGCCATATAGTCACTGCTCTAAATGAAAGTTAATTATATACTAGAATTGTCAAAATTATTAGGCGAATAGCTCTGTAAAAAAAAGTTACTAAAAAATAATTAGTAATAATGAGTTCTTAACGCAATTTCAGGCATAAAATTTAATAAATATCTGTTAGGCCTCTGGCCCTTTCCTATCTTCAACTGTTTTTTTGATCAAAGGTTCAAGAAATTATATTCCTGTCTTTTTCTTCAATTACCCTTTAAACAGGCCAATGGAAAAAAACATTCCTGTTACACTGCAAACAAGTACACTGAACACAAAAGAATAGTCTCATGGTAACAATTAAGGTAAATTACCTTAAAAGCACATTTGAAAGTATAAATATTTTTCTTATAAACATCATTAACCTGAAAATTTGGCAAAACACACAATTGTTTTTACTTGTAATACTATTAGTACTGTTAATAGGGTAAATGTTTTCTTATTTACATATTTAAAATAATTATCCAAACCAATTTAAAACTATTTTTGTAATTTCAAAAAGCTTACTTCAGAAATTTAAAATTAATTATAGAAAGCCAAAAGAAATTAGAAGTCAATTACTTTATGAATTTTTTAAATGCTATATTACAAAACCTCAAAAAATCACTAAAAAAATTTACTATTAGGTAAAAATTCTTTCTCTATATTTCATTCTTGCACACTCTCACACATATACATACACACACATACTCACACACTTCCCTACCTACACTTCCTAATTTCTAGGACAAAAGGCTGTAGTAATAGGTAGGACAGTGTTTGAAATAATAGAAAAAAATGTGAGATACCAACCTTCTGCACAGGGAACAACTATCAGAGCTCTGTCAATAAAAACCGTGTTGGTGAGATGCTGGGCCACACCAACACTTGATGGGTCGCGAAACTTAACATAACATACTTTGGAGGAAAAAGCAAGAGGTGCATTGCTGCAAAAAGAGAAAAACAACTCATTAAACATTTGCTTTGTCTTGTCATTTTCATTTAAAATTTCTTTCTCACATGTTTAAACTTAACTAATGAGGACTTAGAAAATGTTTGTTACTAGGGCTCATTGAAACGTAAAATGGCAAAACCCAAGTCATTCAGTGGTGATTTACCTTTCTCAAGAGGCAGGCCTATCACTGCACATGTAAAATTTGAAACAAATTAGTTGATCCTTAATCTCGATCAACTGTGAAAACATCTAGTATAACCCAAAGATGTTCAGTCTGCAAATCCCATAAATTAACAAAATCTTTATACAAATGCTTCAGCTTTCAAACTTCAAATTTTTGTGACCATTCCAATTCTTCCTAAATGTGATTTTCTAGCATTTAAGTCTGAATGTAGACATATTTACCTCTCTGACAATACATGCAATGCTTGGACTTAGATAACTGGTATGAGAGATTTTTGGTGGGTCTGGTATGAAATCTGAACTTAGGCAAAGCATAAATAATTCAAAACAGTTTGTGTGTGCGTGCGCTAACGATTGAATTTAGGGCCTCGTGTGTGTGGTACTCACTATACTACTGAAATGGTTTTATAAATTGTTGATCTTGTTTCTTTGTTGAAAGCATGGCTTTCAACCCACTACTGTAGCTCTCTGGCTGGCCTCAAACTCTCTGTGATCCTAACTCAGTCTAGACTCTCAAGTGCAGGCATGATAGGCGTGCACCACTATACCCAGCTAAATTCTTGATTACTTGAAAGATTAAGGCTGCATAAAATTTAGAATTGGATGATTAGGGCCAGGGTTTAGCTCAGAGGCACACACGCCTGCCTGACATTCGCCAGGTCATGAGTTCAATCCCTGGTACCAAAAAAAAAAAAAAAAAAAAAATCGGATGATTATACTTTATGGTGTTTTTGTTGTCTTTAGGGTCTCCCTATATCACCTAGGCTGGCCTTGAACTCACTGAGGAGCCCAGCCTGGCCTCAAACTTTTGATGATCCTCTTGCCTCTGCACTCCCTGGGATTACAGGCGTGTACCACCATACCCGGCTAGACAGACTCTGAATCCTAAATCTGGCATTTATTAGTCCTAACACTGCAATCAACTTCCTAATCTGTAATGTAAGTCAAAGTAAATTATCACTGCACAAGTTATGTGTGATATTTTTCAAATGACCTTTCTTTTTGTTAAGTATGAAAAAGAAAAATCTTAATGTTTTAAATGACTACACAGTAATACCAGTACTCAGGCGGCTAAAGCAGCAAGATGGGCCAGCCTGAGGCATAAAGTGAGTTCAAGGCCGTCCTGAGCTACAGAGTGAAATCCTGTCTCAAAAAGATCAGAAAATAAAAATTAAAAAGTAAATGACCATACATATTTATGTTACAGATTTGGTATATAATTAGGTCTTTTTTTCTTGCTCTCTAAAAAACACATTAGACTTTAATGAAAAAGGGTTATAGATATGCCAAAATGATTACCCATGAAGTCAGTACGTTTTAGAATTTAACAAGATATAGTCATATTATGGAAAAATTCATTTGTCCTGTTCATTTTACTGTAGTTTTGCTATATTTGACTGAATCAAATGGACTAAAGTCTATATTATCTTATACAATAAAGTATGTAAAATTTTTTGTCTGAAAAAAAAATCTCATGACTACACATGAAAGTGTCTACGCATGACTACACTGAAAGTGTCTGGCATATACAGAGGACCTTAATTTAATTTCATATTTGAATGTTTTTACGAGTTCAGTAAAGATTTAGAATTTTTAGTTGCTAGTTTTTTAGTGCTTTTAGTTGTTGAGGATGAATACTGGGTTTCCAAGCGTGTTATATAAAGTGCTCTACCTGACCACATCTCAACTGTTTTAGCAATTTAAAACAGCACCTTTATATTTTATTTATTTAAACAGCACCTCTGATTAGGCCTCTCCTGAGCTCTAGCCTTCCAGACACAATGACGTGCTGATATTAAACTTTCATCTGCCCCAATCTGTTAACTCCAAAATACATTCAACATCCTTTTTTGCTACCAACACTGCCCTTTGTACTTCACATCTCACTTAAACATACATCACATTTCCCAAGTCTGAAATTTGAGTCACTTGTGTGATCCTTATCAGTGATAGTAACCAAATGTTTTCAAAGTTTATTCTGTATAAGTAGTAAAATCCCATCTTTCTGTTCCTTGGATTTAGATGTGTAACTTGCTTTCATCAATTAAATGTGAAAAGAGCTACAATGTATCTCTTCTGCAGAAGTTGCAAGAGCAGGGCTGAGGATTTAACTCAGCAGCATAAGCACCTGCCTGGCAAGCTGAGGTCATGTATGATCCCCCTCCTCCCCAACACACACACACACAAAAGTTTCAAGAGCCATAGCTTGGCTTTTCTCCTCTACCACATCAACCA